TATCGTTGCACCCCTAGTCACTACCTATAGCAAAATCCTAAATTTCCAAACTCAATATCCTTTATGAGATACAGAAGTCATTTCTCAATATTTACCATCTACATGCATTTTTCTATATTTTCACTACCTAAACATTTTTGGTACAGTATAAATTATGCTATACTATAATTTGCCATTACCGTTAAAACTACAGCTACAAATGTTACTCCCTTGTTTGTTTAAAATGACACTAGAAATGATGGGAGATTACATTGGAAGTCAAGGGCTGCATTATGAAGCACTACCAGAGCAGCTAGGCTAACACACAGCTGTCACTTAAGCTAACCAGTGTTTTTTTTCTGCATGTATCTTTAATAAAGGACTTATTATCTGAATAAGCTTTAGGTGATGAGTGTCAATTCCCCATTTTAAATTTATTTATGTACAGTGAGAGAGTGGAAACACGAATTCAGAAAGACCAGAGTTGAGGAAAGCGGCACTTGTAGCTGTTCAAATTCCCATTTAATCTCAAAGCACTTAGAAAATGTCAACATAGCTATGTATATTTCCATATCAACTAGATGCTTTGATGCAGTGGTTAGCAGAATGATGCGGTGAAATATATGATAAGTGATGCAGTTTCATATAACCACGTGCAGCCCTGCTGCTTATCCTCAAATACAGGAAGTTAGGAGGTTGGGGTAAAATTCCGCAGACAGGAAACTGGAGGGCTAGGATTGGGACTATGTGCAGAAACGCTGACTCTACAGACCCACACTTCCTGTTTTGACATGTGGAAGTTCCCTCAGTTTTAGTATTTTAAAACAGGACCCAGCCGGGCATGGCCCATTCCCTGCAGGGCTATTTATGCCAGGCCTGGTATTGTCCTCTGCTTTCTGCTGTTTAGATCTCCTGCTGTGGAGCTGGTATAAATACCACACATTTTCCTGGACTGCATACAGCTGAAGCACAGAGTTGAAAACAGAAATAAAAAGAGGTGGAGTACCTTCTAAACATCAAGACATCACAGAGTGGAAAAGGTCCTATTTCATGCTTCATTACTGATTTGGCTCTTGTACACTTGTCCTTTTTCTGTGAATGATACATGGGGACTACACGTGCGGTCTACATGAGGTGGGGCCTGTTTTCCTTCTCTGGACCTTTGAAAAGCTATGAGAAGAATTTCATCTGAGAGGAGATTTCAAAAGAGACTGCAACCAGAGCTTCAGTCTCACTTTCCTCTTGCTGTCTGGGGCCCGCAGTTAAAATCCCGGTATATTCAATCTAAGTGCTGGAAAGTGGTTTACGACAGTTTCCTTTTCAGATTATCTGTCTGAAACCTTTGTGGCCTGAAGGTTAGCAGAAACCCCGTGGCTGGCTACGCTGTCTGGGATCTGCTATCTCCAGACAAACATCTCCATGTTTGGCGTTTGAGAGATTTCAGACTCTCGAGAGAAGTATAACATGAAACTGATCCCACACTGATGCAAAACAAACTACATTGCAAGAAATGAACCTGCGTAAACTCTAATGAACCACACTGTCATCGAAACAAAATCTCCTCTCCACAGAAACAAAGAATCCGCCCATCTCTAGAGAAAGTTGTGGGCTGAATTCCTGTGGCAGGTTTGTGGCTAGAACTTGGGGTGCTGTGAAGTTTAATGTCAGTGCTGTTAGTAGGACTTTGATTGGGGGGGGGGTTACAAGTTGAAATAGCAGATTCCCTCCAAATGAATACCTGAAACTTAAAAGAAAGAAGCAGTCAATCCTATCTTCATGTCTGTTCTCATTTGATTGGTTTGTTTGGAATTACTGTATTCTTCAGCTCTTTGTCTGTTTAGTCTTATTTGACTTGTCTTTTACTGTTATTGCTCTTTATCTGCGTTATTTTTATTTTAATGGGTAATTTAGTATCTGACCAGAGATGACACACTTAGTTATCTTGAAATGTTTACACTCAGCTGCCAGTTTATGTAAGATACACTTAGCTAAAAATAACTAAAAGCTATTTAGAGAATTTAGAGAAAAACAAAAGAAAAAAAGCCACCAACAGAGATGTTATAGTAAAATAGTATATTGCACAGCTATGACATCAAAATTATGTGGCGCATGGACCTGGGTCCTTTGAGGGTGTCCTGTGGGAGTCTGTTGGTTGTAAGACTTAAGTGGGTCAAGCTCATTCTCCTGCACCTGATGCATTTATTGTTCACCCAACCATCCATTTTCTACTGATTATACATCAGTTTAAAATGAGATTCCAATGCAAGGATGCTTCATTGAATTAAACACCTGTTGCTTCAACTCTTCTCTTCTTGTGTGTCTCTCTCCCCCTCCTTACTTTGCATCTCTGATAAGAGGGAGTAAGACATGAGAAGAGGATGAGAGGAAAGGGAGGACGTGCAAACTAAGAAATGAGAAAAGGGGTATATCTTAAGAGTTCCACTTCCTGTGGAAATGTTGAAGAAAATATCCTGCTAGGGAACATGGCGTACCCCTGTTGTTGCCAGAGGTACAGCAACAGTTAGAGGGGTGTTAACTGTTAAAGTAAGCAGCACACATGTATCCAAGATTTCCCAGTAGAAAATTACATTGTAATAAAATTGTAAACATTCTTCACCGTACGTGTAATAATTTTAAAATTAGTCACAAACTACGTCCTACACACTCAGTGTCGAGAAATTCTTCAATCTAAACATCATCAGGGCAGGATTGTTCTTAAGGGCTAACCACGTTACTTTTAGCTAAACGGGTCGAATGAACTGGCAACTGAGATTACAATAACCCTACAGTAATTACAGAGAGTGGTATCAGTCTTGTCTAAGCTAAAAAGTGAGCGTATTTCCAAAATGTTGATCATTAACTTCTGTGTTCTTTTAGCTTTTCATCAACCCCTCACCAGCTGCTGCTAATGGCAGTGTCCCTACATGGCCCACAAGGCTTTTGCTTGGCATGGTGCAAACCTTTCTCCCTGCTCCATTTACTCTGCATAACCCTCAGCTCAGACTGAACATGCGGGCCCTGCTGCGCCCTGCAGGCTAATTCAGGATAAGTAAATAAAATGCTCAGAGACCCACGGAGAATGTACTATAAGTGACCACAACAACAATGCCAGAGCAGGGTAGTATTTCGATCCACCATTCTGACCCCTGTTGTTGCGGTGGAGACAGAGGAAATACACACACACACACGCTCACACACACACACACACACTCCCAGATTGAGACATGGAAACAGGATGAGATGAGGGCATCTGTCTAAGACCTCCATTTCTGTTACACTGTCTCCAGGTGACTCTCTTTACTCTGAAGAAACACACACACTCTGTGTAGACAGAGGAAATAAACACACACACACACACATACACACACTCTGTGTAGACAGAGGAAATAAACACACACACACACACACTGGAATGTGACTGTCTCATTCTAAATATCTCAGACTGTCTAGAAAAGCCCAAGAGACAGAGGGAACAACATAAACCACAGAGAGTCCCTCTCTACTCTAAGGAGACTGGAATAAAACACACAAAAACAAATTTGTGTGAGCTGTACTTCATTAAAAGGTCCTCTCTAAGATTTAAAGTCTATAGTACAATCTAATTTTGCAAGGTGAGAATTACTGATAGAAAGATTTTTGATCAAAGTGGCATTAATACCGGACTCACACACCCTCATGTGCATAAGAGCGAAATGATTCCCTTCCAGCACTGAAACAAAACTGGTGGTATCAAAACTCCCTTTCCTAATTGTGTGAGTGTTTAGCTACTGTAAGGTAGTAGTGTGTTGTTGTGTTGTTGCCCTACAGATTGTTCCTTGTCCTCGATTCTCGTGATCTTCCACTGACATTTGAATTGGTGGCTTAAGAATTGCCTTTCTGTTCTTTACTGATGATTTGGTACTATTCATTATACAGCATGCAGCCAAATGTGAAACAGCTCGGTTGTGTGTCACCGGTTCCCTGTTTAGGCCACGAATATCTGATTGCTTGGACTGCAGTTCATTGCTTGGTGGATTAGGAGTTTCTATTTCTATTTTTTTCAACTGGCAGAAAAAGCAAGACAAGACCAGAACAAGTTTCAGGGATCTAACTGTAACACTTACACTAAAACCACATTCTGAGCCTCAAAAATAAATTAAAACACACACACACACACACACACACACACACACACACACACACACACACACACACACACACACACACACACATATATACAACACAGAGCGCGCGCACACACACACACACACACACAGACGCGCGCACACAAGGAGGTACAGTAACCACTCCAGCTCTCTCCCCCTGATTTCCTGCCCAAAGAAGGGCAACCGCACGGTTCAGATTGTCTCCCTCACACATCAGACATTCCTCAAATTCCTGCTGCTAAAGCTGAAGGTTGAGGTGCAGTGCAACAGATGAGGCCATCAGCCTCCTTGCTGCCCCCATCAAAAACAAAAACGTAACAGTAAACAGTAGTCCTGAAACTACTGTCTACACTATGTAGGTCTCACACACACACGGTAGCAATTTCAAGCAGCTTTCAACACATTGGCCTTCAAACGTATTGCATGAAGTCAGCTGATTAAAGTGACTTTTTCCTTTTCTTTTAGTAATTGTGACGTATAGGAAATAGCCAAATACTTCCAGTTGTTTCATGACTGAAGGGACATGACCGGAAAGAAAGGAAGGTAGAAGATAAGCAGTCATTTTTATGACATTGCATTACACACGGCACAAACTGAGTTAGACCTCACACACACCTTCATTATGTGACACGTTAACATCATTCTGCCCAACTGCTTCTCCTGCTGAGCTTGATCTGACAGGCCAAAACTCACAGAGCATGCTGTCACTGTAGAGTCATCTCAGTTGCTGAGACACTTCACCTGAGCAGATTTGTTTTATTCTGAGAGTGAGTGTGCGCTTATGTGTTACATTACATCATACTTCCCACAGCTTAGTAATTACTGAACACGTTTGTGTGTTTACATGTGTGTGCAGTGTGCACTGTGTGCACTGACCTCCAATAGCTTCACACCTTGACGTCATCTCCCACAGGACCAGAGCCATGGAGTAAATGTCAGTCTGCTTGAAAGACTCGATGTTCTCCAGATTTAGTCGGGCCTCCAGCACCTCTGGTGCCATATAGCGCGCAGTGCCCACCTGCCGAACAGAGGTAGCAAACAGGGGTTAACACACAAACAGGCACACCCAAGCATTAAACAGATTATCACCTTATCACTACACTGTCTCTCAAAGCCTGATTAATGGTGCTGGTGCAATAAATCAAAGCACTGGCTCAGTGGCAGAAGACCTGACTCACTCCTCGCTTCATTCAGAAACAGATAAGAAAAAGAAATGACATTTTTGACATCATAAAACAGAGAGATTCTAGTCTAGCCATTCATCTGTTTGATGTGCGCTGTTAAATTACACATAGTAGCTACTGCACTGTTTGCTCCAGACAACTTTCAATGTTGCTGTTATGCTGCAGTGTTTCTGTATACTCCAGATGCATTTCTTCACAGCCAGACATGGAACAATATATATTTTTTGCAAGTCTGCAGAGTCCTACATTTAATAGTCAACCTCCAAGCCAAGTTTTAACTAAAAGCAGATATAGAAAATCAAGTCTCAGCTGAAGACAAACTCAATTCAAGGTCACGTCCAAAATAAAGATCTTTAGCCTCACGTTAAATCACAAGTCAAGACAATCAATGACTTCCAAGTCAAAATCACAAATTCCTGTCAGGAGAAATCAGTTTGAGTTCAAACCAAACAAGATTAAAGTCCAATGTTGAATTATTTAAGTATTATTTCAAGTCTCAGCTTAAACTCAGTGGCTTAGGTGAATATTTAGAACATACTCTCTCCCAGTTTTTACTGAAAGTAGAGGGATACCATTCTCATCAAGTCGCTGCACGTCAAATCTAATAGTTTGCACGTCTTTGCAACTGTATGCTTGCAAATCTTGGGACTCTTTTGATTTTGTAAAGTAGAGTTTGGAGTCATCATGGACTGTAATGGAAACGTATAAGCTGAAAGTGAAAGTGGAACAGTTTTCTGCCTTTAAAAGTGACGTTTGTGCGTCAATCAAAGTCAATTAGCATAACCGTTTTGCATTTATCTACTTTCCCACCAGTAAAACGGTGGCTTGTACTGTTCCACAGTAACCCAAGCAGTAATCCAAATGGCTCTGAGTTTAGATGTGCAAACTGGTCAAACAAGCTAGCTGACTGTATATGCAAATTCATTCTTGCAATGCTAATGCAAGACTTGTGTCCTTTCCACCACAGGTACTTTGTCAGTTCAACAGCTTTGTAGTGCATTTACATGAATTTGTTCCATTATTGCTTACCATGAGCATTTTCCAAATCTGTCTTTTCACTGCTGCTTTAATAACCATAAAACATCTGAGATTTACATAACATCAAATTTCCCATGTGCTGTATATGCAAAAATACTGCTGACATGGTTTTGCGAGTGGTTGCACGAGTTGCATTTTTATGCAAAGAAAAGTTCGACCACACGCGCACACATGATTGAAAAGAATTTACACCGAAACCTAAGCTCAGGATAATATCTGACAGACACACACACACACAGTCACGGAAGTTATAATTACAACCTACTAGCTGGGAATTTCCAACTTTTAATTGTGAGTGGAACCAATAGTGACATTGAACAATCATACTTTGGCCTACGCATGAGCTGAGGTTAAAATCCCCCCAAAAAGCAAGAAAAGATTGAACAGCCAGGATTTTGTTGTGGTTGACTCACTGCACCTCTTCCTTCATCACTTGATTACTGATCAGTCTGTCAGTTTTCTTTTGTCAGCAAACAATCAAACACATTCTCAGGAGAAGTAGGAGGAAGGCAAAACAAACACAACCCGCTCATATCTCATCAGATATGGTGAGATATGACAGCTACAAATCTATTACCGCAGATATTTGCAGGTTATGCTTTTGATATCTCTTGGCAGTTGTGTTTAAAGACCATTTGTTAAAAAGAGGAATCCGTAATGATATTTAACCTGTCCACTGTTGGCAAGTTCATCCACTGACAGGCTGCTGTCCAGACAGAGTCCCAGGCCAAAGTCACAAACACAGCACGTCCCGTCGTTTTTCACCAGGATGTTGGAGCTCTTCAGGTCTCGGTGGACTATCGGCACCTAGGAGAATAACAGATACTTGATCGTCCAAATGAATAAAAATAATAAGCATGAAAGCAGAGATCAAAATCGTAAAGAGATAATACGATGTATGTAGCCTGAGTTACAGGATGTTGATCTGTTGACTTTTCCCCTAGTGTCACCAGGCATTAAGCATTGTGTCCTGTGTCTTTTAGAAAACCTTAATCTAGCTGTAATTTGATGCTGAGAAAGTCCCTCTTGGCTTTACATTTGACATTTTTACTTAATTCTAAGAGTGCTACAGGTTTGGGCTGCTGTGAGGACCTCCCTTCATCTCACTCCCTGCATGTTATTCACTGTTATTTGCTCCCTCCTGTACTTTGTATTTTTTTTCTGTTTGTTTAAAGGGAGTTCTTCCTGTCAGAGATTATGAGTTTTGTTGTACCGTGTAGGATCTGTACTTTCTACACTGCATAAACTAAATTTAACTGAACTGAATTAATGCCATCGTCTCACTATAACAATTCGATGTATCCAGTTAATATTTGCTAAAAACTTGATGGACAGCAGTACTCATAACAGGTGAAGAAAGGCTGAAGTGTTTTTATTGGAACAAGTGTCATCTGAATGCTGCTAACGTGGCTAATAGCAGTCACATGGATGGATTGCTGCCCTACTGCTAAATATGACTTGTGATCTCTAACCTTAGGGCTTCCACAGGGGAGGCGATCACTGTGGAGGTGGGCAACACCCCGTGCCAGAGAGCTGCTGAACACCTGCAGCTCCTGCCAGCTGATCACGTGATGTGTCAGGTACTCCTACAAGACAGAGATGTGACGGTGTATTAGCATTTTGAGAAGTTACAAACTAAAGTAATACCGCTTTCATATTCCGGACACTTGTGCACTCACCTGTAGGTTTCCTCTGGGGTGGAAGGCCGTGATAAGCCAGTACTGTTTCTCCACCTTCCGCTCCTCAGCTGTCAGGAAGTGGAGGATATTCTCATGTCGGAGGTCTGTGTTGGAGAAAATGTCCTTCTCGTTCTTCCAGGAGGCGTACTCTTCGTAGGGGAAGATCTTTACAGCTACTGTTTCAAACTGATTCCACGTAGTCTGCTTCAATTTAGCCTTGTATACCTGAGCAAAGCGACCCTTTCCCACCTGGGACACAAGCAAAAGTTAAGATTAGAGTTTGAAGCAGCACAGCTCCACATATGTATCAAATATGTTTGCATACCAGCAGATCCAGCTCTATAGGCAGCGGCTCTGTGTTGTGGTTCAGGCTGTTGGCATGAGTCGAGCTGCTGTCGGACTTATCGTCATCTGTCATGATGGCGCAGGCGTCACTGCAGTCCAGCCCACCGGCTATTGGCTTGCGCTTAAAGTTAAAGCTGCTCTCCCATTGGCGGTTGGGACGCCTCTGCCGATGGATTCTGCACCAGTAGAACATTCCAAAAAACGCGATCACCATCACCAGCAGGGGCAGCATGCTCACCAGAACTGCAGATATCAAAGAGTGGTTGGACTCCAGTGGATCTGGAGTTGGATCCACAGCTGGGGAGAGAAGATGAAAAACATGAAAAAAGTGTGAGCATGAGATGCGTAAGCTCATGAGTCCCAACTGAGAAAGAAGACGCACAACGATAACATAAGGTTGTGTGACATCAGAAATGGAAATGTATTGAGATAGTAGCAGAACGCAAAAATTCCCCATGTAAGAGCTAAACTGCTCGTGGGTGGACTTTGAACTGAATCATGAAAGTCAGCTATGAGGATACGTTAAGAATATTGTTAAAAAAATGACTCACCATCATTTGCTGTCATGTTATTAAAACAAAAAAAAATTCTCCCTGCTGCACAAAACGCCTTCAGGTTTGCTCAGAGTTTTCCTTAGCTATCTGAAGCTAAGGTGGGAAGATGTAGATATTTTTGAAACCGCCAACGTGAGTCAGAGCTCTGTTAAAGAATGAGCATAATAGTCTTCTCGGGACTGTCATGAAGCTATTAATGCAAAGTCAGTTTTTCAGTAGACTGTTTTATGATGCTGATGTGATTCTAGTTGGTATTGTTGATTTGGTGAGATGCATTAACAACCTACAGTGATCAGTGGATTATGGAAAAGTAACTTTTGCATTTGAACAGCTTGTACTTACAGCTCGTGTTAGTTTCACACAACTTTTTCGGCACCTATTACTAATTAGTAGATCTTTCTTTAAAATGAAGCCGGGGTCGACCTTTGCTGAAAAGGACACGCAGGCTAGTTTCTGTGTTCTGTGCGGTGGATGCAACAGCAGCACACGTCAGTTTCCTCCCACTGCCACCACACTGAGGACACCACAGGGAAATCATTCTTAAACCCTGCACTATAAAAACATCATTGTGTTCCCCACTCCACAGACAGCTTGAAATCTTTTACTGTCCATCATAACAAGAAGTGCAAGTTTCAACCTTTTGGTTTCTGATCTTTTCAGGGACCTAACTGTGCAGTCAGAAGGTTCACAGTTTGAGCAGGCTTTATAGCTTTGTGAGCTATAGCATTAACTCCATCCACTGACTCTGACTGCCAGCTGGGACAGAATGGCGGCCAAGCCTCGGAGCTCCAGCGGCAGTGAAAGAACAGTCAAACGCTTGTCTGTCTTGCGTTGGCCTGGCCTGGACTGATCTGCTCTAGCCGGGCACCTTTTCAAAGAGTGTCTCACTCATAGTCCCAAGGGAACATTACCCTCCTGAGTGAAGCTGCCACATTGGCGAGCTGAAGGAGGTCAGGCCAAGGACTGACCATTGAAGAAAATGCTCCACCCTACATCTACTTTGCAGTAAGATTTTCCACTTACAGTACATGTATTAGTGAGCACTATAGAGGCTCAAAGTATACAAAGCAAACATCAGCATATAGAGCAAAAATAAAAACTTCGAACTTTGATACTCTGTGAATTCTTCTGTATATCATAGACTGAATGTAATCACTGACTATGTATAAAATGTAGACTCAGCCACACATGACTGAATCTAACTGTTGTGAAGTCTGCTCAGTGTTTTGTCTGACAACCAAGATTTCGAAGATACTGCATGTCCATCTAAGCATAAACTTTATTGCCCTTTTAGGCTCTACTGGGGACCATCATTTACACACAGAACGCGCTGTTGTGTTCAGTAATACTTGAAACTGGGTAATAAACTTATCAGGAAAGTATGTACTGAGGTCATAGAACAAGGGAGCTGAAACTTCTGTTAAACCAGACACTAACTGACTACCCCTACTGGCCATGAATAAGAATGGTTCCACATCTGGAAAGCAGAGAACTGTTGTCCATTTAAATACAGTTAAATGCACTATGCAATGGCCTTTTTAGCAAGCTACCTAGCTACAACTATTGTTTATTACAATCCAAATTCCAAAAAAGTTGGGATGCTGTATAAATGTAAATAGAAAGAAAATGCAATTATTTGAAAACATTTATTCACATATCAAATGTTCAAAATGAGAAAATTAACCATTTTTTTTTTACTAATGTCTCAAAAAAGTTAGGAATTGCCCATGTTGACCACTCTGTAGCATCCTGTCTTGTTTAAACGGTTACAGCAGATGGCTGCACCTCACTGAGTCTGGTTCTGCTGGAAGTTTCTTCAAAGTATGTTTTTTTTTCCTCACTGTCGCCAAGTTGTCTGATTCTTGGGGTTTCCTCTATCTCTATAAAGTCCCCTGAAGTGACTGGCATTGTGATTTTGTGACATATAAATAGAAATGTATTGACTTGAACCAGTTGCTGGACTTTTGAGCATTTAGTGTTGTCTATGGGTTCTAGACTTTAGGCTCCAAACATTTTCCATTCAAGTTTCTTTAAATTTATGTTATGAATGTTGAAACTCTAAAAATGCTAGCCTTAAGGAGTTTATGTAATTTTTTGTAATTAACTGAATTAAAGCCAAGTGCACAAAGCCACTTCAATCACACATTAATAGTTTGATCTAAGAGCCACTGTGGTGGTGCACAAAGGCAAAACTACACTGTTCCAAAAAATAGTAATGTCAAAGTACTTTACTGTGTAGTTTACAGTTGTGTACTGTTTTTCTAGAATATCATTACATTTACATAAGTAGGCTGTGATCTGACACGTCAAATGTAAAATAACATAACATCACTGTAAATGTAATAAAACACAATTTACTTGTTTGTTAAATATATTTTGTTGTACATATGCATATTTAGATTGTAAAAATACATCCAGGAATGTCTCCCATCATGCCTTGGGACATGTGCTGCTGTTTAGATGTTCTTGTTCTATTGTTTATGGTTACGTTACTTTTAACTGTTATCTTGAATGTTGTGTTTACGCCGTGGTGCAGCGTCACTGACAGTTGTTGTTTTGTAGAGAGAGTGCTGTACCATGAGTGATTTCTGTTGTGCTGTTGTTGAACCTTGAGGCACATTGTAGCACGGCAAGTGTTTTAATAAGGAGCTCCCCCTATCAGCTTGGGGTTAAATAACAAGTTCAATCTCTCTCTGTGAGCTTCTTTGTTAAGATTTCTCTGCATGCCACAATGTAAAACATTGCACGGAAACGCTGTGCTAATTATATATTTTGAAAAAGAAATGTAGAGGTAGGAATTGCAATTAATATAAATAACATGACGCTAAGCATCGGCCAATGAATGTGAACTAACAACAACAAGGTCGCGGGTAACGCTGCGACCGTAGGAAAAAAACCCTAATATGAAGGTATTTTACTGCATTTTACAGTAATGTTCTGTTCTTCTAGAATATCATTAAAGTTACGTAAATAGACTTTGACTTCACATTTTGAATGTAAAATGTTAAATCACTGTAATGTAATACAACATGATTGTCATGATTATTAAATGTATCTGTCTGTACGTATGCATATTTAGATTGTTAAAATACATTCACAAATGTATCATGATCTCACAAATATCTGTCCGTTATTTGAAAGATTGAACTGTTGAATTCAAATGTAATGCTATGGAAAAGTATATAACATGATCCCTATAAGCTTGTGTTACATCACATAAGTATTATTATCG